AATGTCTGTAAGTGAACTCAAAAGTAGTTGCGAGAGAAAAAAAAATTTTACGGGCTCACCAAATTTGTGGTGGTCCCCAAACAAAAGGAGCTTACACAAAATATATTGATACACTAGGTTAACACTGATATACCAAAACGGATTAATGATTAAGAAACCTAGATGTCTGTCCGTTAGTAAAAACAAAGGCAATGAAATACCGTTAGCAATACAAAAGGTATATTAAACAAAACAGACGCTAACAGTTACTATAGAATGAATGTTACTTGTTAACTGCCTCGTGAGGACAACGACCACAAACTAAGTTCACTTGGTTGACAGGTGTTCCTCTGCAAGCGACTGCACCAAAGACGTAACGAGGAAGACGGAGTCCAATAGTATTATACAATAGTAATCCGTGCCAAAAGTCCAACGTTGAGACGGGAGGCCTATAAGGATGTTATAATACTATTATAGTCTTCAATCAAAACGGTGGCCAATAAAACAGAAGAACAAACGGCGTAGGAATTGTTCTATATTTTAAACAACCCGGTAGTAGAAGTGTATACCATTCATCGAAACAATTATTATCGTCTTTTTAACAAGTGATACAGCAAAACAACAGATATTGGATAAAGATGTGGTTACAAATAAAGTGTGACAAATTAGAGAAAAAATGTGGTTTTTATTTTTGTTGTTACAAAAATCACTGAATATATGTCACCATATCTTAACTTTTGAATGACTTAATTTGACTACAACCTTTCGCAGTCAATTGTAATTGTCTCTGTTATCTTTATTTATAAATCTTTGTATTATTATTATTATTGTTATTATTATTATTATTATTCGTATTATTGGTTAAACAACATTAATCTCCCCTATACATGATTCATTCACTTCGCATTCATCCCTTCGTATTACGTCTTACTTATTTGATCGAATTGCAATTGCACTATTATTTCTCTCTCATCCTATTTGACCCATATTTATTCTGATCATGGATCTTAAATCTCACTTAACATTTATGCAGATTCAAGTTAACATTCTATATGAGTCATATTGACATTAGCAATTTTACTAGTACAGGGGTTGTGGAGATTATTAAGTTTTTGATTGAGATCATGAACCGATTGATGTTAGACCATGATCTCAATCAAAAACTTAATAATCTCCACAACCCCTATACTAGTATTCAACATGTGATCACTAGTGACTAGCTTCGTGAGGGAATTCTCGGAGTTCTAGTGAGAAGCTGTGACCAGTGGAGCTAATCCTTGTCGGGTAGATACAGGCATCTACCTCAGTACAACGGAAGTTGGTCGCGCAATTTCGTGGATTGGTTGATGTTAGACACTATCACGATTGGATGCCGGCTCAATGGTCCAGTAGGTTAAGCGTTCGCGCGCGAGACCGAAGGCCCTGGGTTCGAATCCCGCTCGCGGGATCGTGGATGCGCACTGCTGAGGAGTCCCACAATAGGACGAAGCGGCTGTCCAGTGCTTCCAGGTTTTCAATTGTGGTGGTCTAACATCAATCGGTTCATGATCTCAATCAAAAAGTTAACAATTTTATTGTATTTTGTTTATCATAATCCTAAATTTACATGATTTAAACGATGTACTCTGCCCTTAACTTGGCCATTTTTCGGATTATTAATTAGGATATATGAATTGTAGAATCTGAAGAGAATTTATCGAAAAGAATATTCTTCGTTCAAACGCTAATCTTTTAATAAAAATTTCATCGAAAATAAATTATCTTTGTTGAAAACAGTAAAAGTAAAGGTAATTTGTACAGTTAAAGATAAAATGAGTCCTTCAAGTAAGTGAATAAATATAAATTAACCATACAAATACAATGTATATCGGCGTTCAACAAGAAATGTACTGGGGACCCTTTCACCCAGTCATGTAAAAAAAGTTAAAAGCGACACACATCATTACGAATAAACAATGAATGTAGCAATTAATACCTTTAAAAGTACAAATAATGCTTACAAATATTAGCAATCGGTAGTTCTTTGAGATATGGAAGCTTTGTTGTGTGCAAAATTCTAAAAATAGCTAAACATGCACAAACTACTGAATCTTGGACAGTAGTATAACATATACATAAAAAGTAAAAAGGGTGGAAAGAAATGATAGAGCAGAATGGATCTGATGCCAACAAATAAAGGAGATCAAACACTACATAACCAGTAACGACGGGTTATGCAATAATTCATTTGATAAATTATGTTTAATGAAGGATTTAAAAAATATCTGGATATTAGTAGATACCACTTCGCAATCAAATAATTTAACATTAGTGTGAACTAGTGCTAGTAAACGGTAACGATAATATTAAGTTAAAATGGTAGATAATATAATTTCGGTTTTATCGAAAAAAAATTAACATACTCGTCAAGATACATGGATGGATTTCGTTCATAAATATTCAATACCGAGAACTTACACACAAACAGAAAATACTGTTTCCCGAATGCTAGTTTACAGTGGAATTTCGGACTTACAACTGGTTCAGTTGTATCGACATCACAGTGTTGATGCTCATGCTGGAACTCAAGCACAACTCTTACTGCTCAAAAAGACAATATATTATCAGCCAAGAACGAAATCCATATACTAAACGTGACTGTTAAGTATAATCCGAAAAAGCTATTGAAAACTTGTAACTACAAGCCACTTAACTGGCATTGGCTCAGTGTGTATATATTCTATAGTTATACACAGTACTCAATATCACGAGGAGAAAATTAAAAAACCCTAAAAATATAATACAATACTGTCTAATGATCTTAGGTTTACAGCTAGTCCATAGTGAATGTTATTTCCGAAATATTCAACTTTCTTATTGAAATAGCCAGAAAGAATTAAATCTTTATACTCAGGGATTAGTTTGATTGACAGTTGAGTGAACTAAGTAAACTGTATCGTGAAATTACTTGTGTTTTAGATTACCATTAGTAATCTTTATTTTGTTGCTGAAGCGATTTAAATTATTTTTCTGGTTCGAAATTTCTTCGCAAAGTTGTTTTCAACGATATGAGATTGCTAAACCCATGCCTAACCCTCCTCATTCGTCCGAGCTACAGACCAGAAGTAACCCGAGAAAAGCTACAGTAGCACGTGACACTGTTAGTACTCAATAATAATTCCATGACTGAAAAATGATAAAAGTTATTTTGGACATTAAAATATAAATAATAGATTATTATGGATGTGGAGGAATAGACCAATAATTATCATGTTAAGTCCAATGGTGTCCTTGGACTTTAAATGGACATTTCCTATTGGTCGATATCTGTTCACTTGTTGAGTATTGTACAAAATGTTGTTTTCTATTTTTATGATACGATGTGGTATGCTTGATTAGTATATAAACAAAGTATGTTTGAAATATAATGATTCATATCTCAGAGGCTGTGGCTTGTGTTCTGGACTCAACTGGCTGGGTTGGACAGGGAAGCAGGACCAATCAGAACTGTAGACCGTTCGTTCGTGTTTACGTGTCACTGTAGTCGATCGATAACACAGGGTAAAAATCGACCTCAACCTAAAGTCATAACATAGATATTATACTGCGCTTGATAAATTCTTTGCACAAATAAAACTGACTTTTACGAATTGACAAAACAATGATGCACAGCTAAGAAAATCTAACAGGCTTAACAACTCATACAATCAGGTTGATCTAAATTTCTACTTACGTTGTACGCAAAATAAATTTATATATATATATATATATATTGGTTGGTTATGTGAAGAAATTTTTACTTAACTATATTACATAAGAGGAGTAAACTGAATATTATTGAATTCTCAGAGTATCCATTTTCCAATATTAAATATAGGCTAAGCACTAAAACTTCTTAGTATTCATTCCATTCACTTACTAGGTGTGTTGCATTGAAATGCATAACTTTTACAGAGAATTTCAATTCAATCTCTAACTTTCACCTTATTTGAATTCTTTAGAATGAAAACTATGATGCATTAGAATGATATATATATATAGAAAGGATATTACCAAAGACATTTCTATATTAGAAATGAGGTTGTTAGTGGAAATTATACTTTCATAAACAGCATTCACGGAATAAATCAAAAACGAAAATGTCCTAGGATGCACGGAGTATTAATTTAATTGAACGCTGAAAAAGCATTGTTAAAACTCGAACCAAATAATACATATGTATCAGTTATTCAATGAGAAAATAACAAGTTAAACAAGCATGACAAATCGAAATGAGAAAGAATTATGTTAGAATTATTAATTGATATTTAACCTAAACAGTTTTAATGGTAACAGACATAAAAAATGGAAGAATGAAACCAAAAGTAATTTGATGACCAAAGAGAAGAAAGAAATCGTGCACACAATTTCTGAATGTAGAGATCAGGTTCATGTACTCATACTCTTACCAATTCCACTATATGTGAGAGTCAAATTCACAAATCATAAAGTAAATTAAATGGGGTTCGAATATTATTATACATTCATGCCAACTAAATGAACTAAATAAACTGAACGTCGAGGTACAGAGTTTCTTAATATTACTCCGTCGCAATTCACTCAGATGCGAAGAATTACGTTACAACACACGTGATTACACATGAAACATGTATACATTCAGTAAATTTTCTACATAATCTCAATCTCTTTACTCCAAATAACATATAGGTTGAGCATTATGAAGAGCGACCTGTTAAATGAATCAAACCAGAGAACATTAATCATGTGATTTCAGTGGAGACTATTCACACTTATCCAGCCTGGATAGGTGTAGAAGACCCACACAATTAAGCAAACACAACCGACATTCCACACTACACACTACACACCACACACCACCAACCAACAAGCATTACCTGACTGTCTACTGAATCACCAACCAGCTAACAACAGTCAACCAATAGTAATTCAGTGTATAGGATATACGATTGGTGGTAGAAAATTCCCAACGTGTCACCTGTCTGTCTCACACCCTCATTCAAAATATTATTTATCTTCATTTCACAACCACAAAACAGGTTGCTTGATTATGATCAATACAGCTCGGGAGTCAGCTTGTGCATCAAGACCACAACCACCACCACTACCACCACCACCACCATCAACACGGTGGAAACAGACCACAGTCACACGATACACAACTGAGGAAACGAGTGAATTAACCGAATTGATATTGAGATATCGGGATGTTTGGAAAGACAAGAGTCGTCCATCTGCTGTTCTTCAGAAAAAATTGTGGATGCAATTTGCACGTTACCTACACTCGAAGGGATGGCCGAGAAGAAAATGGTTTCATCTGCGTCGAAAGGGTCTGCACATGCTGAAGAAACTCAATAACACGACAATCAATCAGTGGGAGGTGTCGAAAAGCAATCCAAATTCACCTGAAAATCACTCCAACCACACGTCACTCTCCAGTTCCAATGAAAATCGACACGTGAACGTGAACGGACAAAGTGATTCGGTAAGTTCGCCTTTCCCAATCACGTGCTAATTGTTTTCATCGAATTCAGGTGACCGAGGACCAGTCGAGTGTGCATCAAATCAACTTGCCTACACTCACCCCCTCACCAGTGATAACCATCACCTCCAAACATCCCACATCAACACTCAGTCCTCCTACAAACCATGTGCAACCGAATACCCCACACACAACTGGTCCAAAAATCTTGAACGCATTCTCAACAGCTCACATGTCTCAACATCTGGTGATTCCACATGATGCTCTAGTGCTGCAACCAACCACCACCAACCTCAACAACAACCACAACAACACGGTTGGTGAGGTGGCGATTAATCCTAACCGCGTCGCGTTACTGACTCCTCTCCATTGTGTCTCGTTCGGAGTCGCGAAAACCCATACTGCAGACGTATCTCCTATTCAGGAAGTGAATATCTCGAACTCACCATCCAACCAAACGAGTCGCATTCCTCTGACTGCAACAATTGATTTATCAACGTGTAGTGAGGACGAGGAGAGCTATCCAGAGTTGAGTGGAACGCGAAATCAGGCGAACACGAATCAGGTGAATGATTTTGGTGAAAATGCCAAGGATTGTATCACGTAAGTAGGACACCTCTTTTCAACTGACACGTTTCACCTTATGTTATTCCTGTTGTTGTTGTTGTTGTTGTTATACTCTCTGTGAAAACTAGACTAATCAGTAGGATTTGATTCACACAAGCAGTGAGTGAACCACACGACGAGGTAGATGGATAGATAGACAAATAGATAGACAGACTGACGGACAAATAAGCAGTACTCTGTTCACTTACGTTCAATGGTGTTCCATCTCACTGAAGTGTCTTCGTCGCACGTTGTGCATCACTCAATATCTTGATTATTGTCGTTAATTTGGTTTGTGTGTGTGTGGATGCCTACTGAATATGAGGGTATCGAGTGAAAATTCCTATTTAGTTGTGTTTGTCAGTTGTGTATATGGTGTAGTAGATTTGATGATTAGGATATATGCGACGAATTTTATGTATATATAAGCATATGTATATCATGTCTCCTACATCGCCCTGGTGATTATAAACAGATGTTCAAACTGTGACTTGTTTTTGTAGATCCGAATGTGAGAGAACCCCATTGTCAGAGATGTTGATTCACAAGCAAATGAAGTGCCTAGATCTGAAGATTGAAATTCTCCAGATGAAGAAGCAATATTGGTCCGAGAAACTGAACTCATCATCAGAAAGCTGAATGTTGGGTGAAAGCCAATCTTCACATGAACTACCACTGTGATTGACATCAATTCTTTTCACATATTTATAGTAAATTCAATTGTAAATTCAATGTATACATATGTATGTATAGGTATTGTGACTGACGAAGATTGTTCTCCCTTTTCATCATTATTGTCCTTTCGTGGTGTGTGTGTGTCTGTTTGTGTGTGCGTGTGTGAATTTGTCTGTCAGTTAGTCCTTTTGTTTCGAATCCATTTGAAGTGGACTGTTGTTCAATACTGCTCTGTTTCAAATGTTCACTACTCTATTGACTACTCTGTTGAATACTGTACATAATTAAATTTAAATGTTGGTTTTGTAAAAATTTTATTTTGTCTTTGAATTAATTTATGAACGTGATCGACCATTGGTTGTGTGGATGACGGATGATACTTGACTTTGAACACAAATATGTTAGAACTTTGTCAATTTTATTTCTTATCATGATGATCAATTGGTTTGATTTGTATTTATTCTAGTGATTTCTGTGTAATTAACTGCTTCATTGATATTTCCATTTATGATACATATTCGATATATGTGTAGAGTTGATGTCAACTTGAAATTCTTGATGACCACATGTGACGGAGATAGGAGAGAATAAATGGTCTCATTTGAATGATGATGTGAATGATAATAATAATAATAATAATGTTGATGATCGTTAAGAATAAATGTACTTTTGTTGTATCCCAATAAATTCGATTATTGTATTTTTGACGTTTCTTGACATATTGTAAATCACTTCCTCAGAGTAAATAAATAACCAATATTATGTTAACTATATGAATTCGGTGTTCATGTTGTTGTGCTAATGAGCTATGGCAACTTGACCGATGCACATGTGTGCCAAGTGGTACGTTGTAGCTGACTGACTGAAGTTTGAATAGTATTAATGAATCACAGACACAGTAGATCGAATGTTGTGAACTGGTCGAAAATGAAGTGATTCAAATGATAAAAATAAACAATTTCATGAAGATTTCTTTCTTAGAGCATTGTGTACATTGGTGATTGGTAGAATTTCTTAAATGAGTGAGTATTGACCAATTGATGGTTAATGAGCTTTGTCATTAACATTATGCACTCAATAATAAACTCTTGTGCATATTTTGTGCCGAACAGATTGACCAATTACTTTCATTTAATAGTTTTCTGAAAGATTCAGTTTAATTCGATATCATGGCAAAAACAATATTCAAATAATTGGTTCAAGATCAGATTTCGAAACATACACAGCAGTATGAACTGATCAATAATTTTCCACTGCATTAATGAGTGAATTGAAATGCCGATATTTATGTTCATAATTACTTGTTCACAAACTTATCATTGAATCATCATACTCATTCATGTGAACATGACAACTTGCATTCCGAACATTCATTTCATTAATTTGCATAATATGGAACAGTCTCTCTCTTCTTTGTAGTGGTTGAATCCAATGACAAATAGATAAATACAAGATCATCTTAACAAATTCCAAACATTGATCACTTCGATAGGAAGAATAACTATGGAGGAAACAAACTCAATGTAGAGTAGTAATATCAGTAATAAGTCATACGTTCTATCATAAAAACATATTGCGTACTCAATGTCTTCAACTTTATGATCACTGATCATAAGCAGGAGATTTTGAGTGTCTAGTAAGCAATTATTAAATCTGTGTAGAAGAGTTCAAGTACAAAACATATCACAAATCAAGAATAGTGAAGAAATATTGAAGTGTCTAACAACTACTGATAGAAATCAATTAATTTTGACTAGAAAAATTCTATATAATTCGGAAATGCGCAAATCTATTCGCAGATCTAAACAAACATCATTTCACTACATAAATATATCGTAATTCACGACAAATTTTCTCGCTCAGTTATTCGTTTTCATTGTTGGTGCATGTGTTAAAGCGATCTTTGCTTAAATTTATGTAGAACAAGTTGGAAGACAACAAACTGATTTTTAATAAATTAATAAATAAATTAATTGATTCAGGAATCTGCTAACGTAATCACGCATCACGACATGCTGGATGATAAACACAAATGTGGTAAGAATGATGGGTTGTAAGGAAATGTTTGGTGAAAACTACAACAACATTGCCGATAACCTGAGACAAAGGCGATCATTGGAAGGAAAAGCATATTTAATGGATACAACTCATGGTACATTTATACTGAAATCACATTGTTGAACGAACATTGTTAATTGTGGAAAATTCCCATGGCATTCACAGTAGAACTACTAACACTTAATGGTCAAGCCAATAATCTATGAAAAATAATGGTCAACTAGACAAATTAGAAGCAATAAATAAGACAAAACAATACGCATCACACAACTCTGGATAACCAATCAATCAATCAATCAATCAATCAATCAATCAATCATTCAACCAATCAATGAACCAGGATGTTGGTCAGATGTAAATACAAATCGTTTGTGAATGTCGAATGGAGTAGTTTGAACTTTCACACGACAATGGTAACAACAAATGTACGCACTACATCCAGACTAATAATACTATCTTTACCAATGAAGTATTCATCTGACTCACACGGAACGACAATTCAGGTAATGTTTGACTTAAGAAGCTAAATTTTTTCACACTATATTAATGTAGACCAAGTTGTAACTTAATTATGATATATGAGATAGTAGAACAAGAAAGGAAGTCCCAGGACAGAGTGGATTGGAGAATACTGGTCGGCGGCCTATCCTCTATTAGCAGTAACAGGAGCAAGTAGGTAAGTAAGTACATTGTAAATTCAGTGTGATTCATGGTCAGTATAAAATTGTTCGCATTGACTTGACGTGTCACTCACCCACTCAGCATAATATACCACTTCCAGTTTGTGTGAATTCAGTGTAAAATTTCCAGTGAAAATTGTGCTATTCAATGCTGCACTTGTCCAAAATATGGACGAAACGATGCTTCAGAGTGATTGGCACTGCATAAATATTGAATAATGAAAACATATGTGCTACAAATTCACAGACACATATCTTATTTAAGTCTATAATAACTATTTACTCAAATCTTATTTAGATTCACAATAACCTCCATTGTACCTACTTGATTATTAACATGATGGAGTTGACCTTCAGTTTCTAATAATTCGTACACTGACTAATCGATAGCATGGCTCACTTTTATTAGTACATTTTCACACTATATTAATATAGACCAAGTTGTAACTTAATTATGTTGTATGAGATAGTAAAATATGATTTTCGACCTAATACATCCCCCCTTTCTCGAACAACTGGATCAAGACAACTTAGAGTACATAGCAGATAAGTTTCGAAGACAAAACAAACGAGCTTTCACGGTACATCGGTTTCTCCACCGAGTTATCAGCACTTAACTCTCTCAAGAAAACATTAGGCAAACGCAAAAGCATACTAGAACACAACTAACAAACACCTTCAGTCTTCTGTTCTTAAAACACACATTTGAATTTGAATCAGGATCCAGTTATAGAATAACTTATCTTCAAAGTGATCAATTACCACAAACGCCCATTCGTCAGTAGCCATTGCAACATTACCCGCTTGTTTTGTCATACAGATTATAACACTGAAATCTGATAAATCTATAAAACATAGTTTGTAAAGGCCAGTATTTTTTGAAAAATTATTACATTTCACAAATTCATTCCATGTTGACACTTTCAATCATGTGACAGAATGATTAAGGAATGAGGAACACTTTATTCTCCATAAGACAAAATTCAATTTCAAAACATCAGGAATTGTATTCGTTAAGATGAGCGGAAATCGCGCGATCACATTGTAAATTCAGTGTGATTCATGGTCAGTATAAAATTGTTCGCATTGACTTGACGTGTCACTCACCCACTCAGCATAATATACCACTTCCAGTTTGTGTGAATTCAGTGTAAAATTTCCAGTGAAAATTGTGCTATTCAATGCTGCACTTGTCCAAAATATGGACGAAACGATGCTTCAGAGTGATTGGCACTGCATAAATATTGAATAATGAAAACATATGTGCTACAAATTCACAGACACATATCTTATTTAAGTCTATAAT